GGCGGGTTTAGAAGAAGAGAAGGGAGAGAAAGATAAAACACACACACATATGTATATATATATAAGGAATTTAGGGTTTTGAAAAATAATTAATAATAATAATAATTACGAAAAAAATTAAATAATTACGTGAAAATTATCTACACATCAAAACGTACCAGTTGTAGTATTACAACCGATAATACGCAACAGTAGAAATAATGCAAGAAATTACACAATTAAGGCGGGTTTAGAAGAAGAGAAGGGAGAGAAAGATAAAACACACACACATATGTATATATATATAAGGAATTTAGGGTTTTGAAAAATAATTAATAATAATAATAATTACGAAAAAAATTAAATAATTACGTGAAAATTATCTACACATCAAAACGTACCAGTTGTAGTATTACAACCGATAATACGCAACAGTAGAAATAATGCAAGAAATTACACAATTAAACAAGAATAATTAATAAAAAATATAATTACTTATATTTAAAAACCACTAATTATGGAAGAATTATCTACACAATAAAACGTACAAGTTGTACTAATACAACATATAATATACAACAGTAGAAATAACACAATAAATTATACAAATAATACATAATTAATAATACAACGTATTATTCGAAATAATACGTAATAATAATAATAATACAACATATTATTTAAAATGATACATAATAGTATTGATAACACAACGAATAAATTTCAAAAAAATTTACCGCACAAAATAAATTTATAAATATTAAAATCATTTAAATAAATATAAAATTTAGACTTTTAAATCATAGAAAATTCTAGAAGGCTAAGAAAAATACAAATACTTTTTTTAAAATAATAATTAAATATTTTAAAATACAAAAAATTTATTTTAATTAATATCAAAATTTCACGGACATTACATCATACCCCTCTTAAAACAAATTCTGTCCTCGGAATTAAACCCAAGGACAGAGATAGGGAACGAGAGTGGGTACTCGCAAATCGACGATACAAGAAACAATGGGAAGCCCCAGAGTCAAAGAGTGATAAAGCAAGAACGGAAAAAACAAGAACTTTGTCTATTACAGGAGGAGGAAAATACATCTAAACTAGTACTCATAAACAAATCCTATCATAATATCATCAAGCAATACTAATAAGAAAAATCATATGCAAGTAAAACTGAGATGAACAACTCTTACCGGTAATAACCTAGTCGTTCGTCTCAGCTTCCATGGCCATCATCATGAATGTCTGACGTGGTGGTTGCTACCTTCGCGCTTCCTGATAAACATGCTGCTGTGGAGGAAAAGACCCTGATCGAGGATAGGATCCGTGCTGAGCTGGTGCTGCTGGGGCAGGTCGAGGTGGAGCTGAAAGGGCTGCCCGAACTGGAGGTGGGGTCAAGCGGGTCTGTTGTCGCTGCGGACAGTCCTGACGGACATGGTCGGGGGATCCACAGGCGTAGCACAGACGAAGATGTCTGCGGCACTCCTGCTGGGTATGCCCAGCGTGGCCACAATAGGAACACTTCACTAAAGACTGATCGCGGGTCTGCACTCCAGGGTGCTGATAGGGATGCACAGGAGGAAGTGGCTGGCGCTGAGTAAACTGATGTCGCTGCGGAGCCTGCTGCTGCCTCGGAGGGGAACGCTCGATATTCCGGACTGGAGCTGCTGGTGTTTTGCTCTGAATCACATGTGGGTCTTCAGGTTCCTTCTGAACACTCTCGATCTCTCGTGCTGCATCCAGTACGGCGTCGTAAGTCGCAAGTGCTCTACCAGCTAGAGCAAACCTGATATACTTATCCAGGCCCTTCTGAAACTGATACCTCCTAATAGTAGGGTCTGTAACCAGGTGAGGAGCATATCGACTCAGGGAAGAGAACTCGGCCTCATACCCTCCTAATAGTAGGGTCTGTAACCAGGTGAGGAGCATATCGACTCAGGGAAGAGAACTCGGCCTCATACTCATCAACTGATCGGCCTCCCTGCTTGAGCAGGGAAGAGAACTCGGCCTCATACTCATCAACTGATCGGCCTCCCTGCTTGAGCTCAACAAACCTACGCAAGAGTTCGTCCCGAGCCGACTGAGGAAAATACTTATTGTTGAAGCGCTCTGTGAACGTCTCCCACAGGATTGGCCTTTCTAAATGGGTCTTCTCAGCTGCCCACCATATCCGAGCAGTATCCGTAAGCTGAATATCCATAAGGTCGACCCATTCAGCAGGGGCAATACGGGTCACCGTGAGGATAGTCTCGATGACCTTCAGGAACTCCTCTGCTGCTAGAGGTCCTTCAGCACCAAAGAAGGAAGGCGGTCGCATGTACCAAAACTCCCTAACACCAAACTCTACACGAGGGGGAGGCTGATGCTGAGGCTCCCTGTGCAGCTGCTCAGCCAGGAACTGCTGATTCGCAATCAATCCATGAATCATCGCTAGAAGTTGGTTCGGGTCCACTTCAGGCGGCGGTCCACTACTACCAGGCTGGCTACCATTACCACGCGTAATCGTCATGGTTCTGAAGGAAAACGAGGATCAAAAGGAAAACTAAGGTTAAAATCAAAACAATATATTAGGAAAATTGGAACTAAAACATAGTTATTTAGATAATAGCATAAGAACTTAATCGTAATCTTACAGATGAAATATGATATGTATCTAAATTGTCCACTATATTCTTACTAGTGAGGACTCGGGACCGTGACCTGCATGGACCACCACTAAAACTTGTCACGTCCCGCTTCCCAAAATACCGGGGAACCGGAACGTGAACAAGCCCGCGACGTATTAGATGGAAAAGAAATATACACTAATATTTTTTTTCTTTTTCTTTTTTTTTCCTCAATCAAATACGCTAAGCGTCAAACACAAGAATATCAGTCACAAGTCCCCGATCACAATAGCAAGAATATAATAACCCAGAATAAGAAATAGACATATCATCAAAAGTATATCATCCTAGACATAAAAATATGGGTCAAACATACCCTTATTACAAAAAACGGTCCAACTAGGAATAAAAAAAATTACATAGTCCATAATAAAAAAAAGTACTACTAAAAATGCGAAAACACTAGTAAAACATGATAATCATAAGGCTAACTGCACAACACTGTAACCGGGTCGAGTACTAGTCATCCTAAAACTCACTGGTCCGCATCTCAAATAAAATCAATATTCATATCACCGGATAACCGACTGTTCACAAATCCTCTACGCGCATCCAATACCGCTACATGAATCGGTCAGAGGACTATACGCAATTCGATCTCGGTGTGGTCCGAACTCAGACAAAGCTCAGGTGACGAAACAGGTCACGGACTAAGATAACTACACGAATTCACTTTAACCCAACAAACCAACCCCAAGGACTACACGAATTCACGGCGCGAGCCTGGAAGATACATCAACAGCCACATCCGATCACATAAACAAAGACTTTCTCATCCCAACTCTTCTAGTTTTCCTAAGTCAAACATAATCCACGCTATCTCTGGTTCACCATCTAAATTCAGTTAACACACCCACACATGTCACTAGGTCTGTTCATGACGCACGATGCAAGTCATGAACTACTAATGGTTCTCAAACACAACCAGGAACAATAAATAGGTCTAAATGATTCTATGCAATAACAAGATGACATGTCAAATCCATTAAATTAAATCTCAAAACATGAAATATAATCATGAATAGTAAAATTACGCATGCAATCTGAATATCTTGTTATCCGAATTTCAAAACTACTCATAAAAATTATCAACAGCTAAATAACATCAAATATAACTATGGTTAAAAAGGAAACTGAAAGTCGTGATTGTTTTGCACATAAAATATCACAGTCTACAACTACCAACACAAAATCATAAATTACTTAAAATCTAAAATAAATAATTCTTTTTGCAAATAAATTCCTTTAAATCATCATAATTATCAAAAATATAATTCTTTTGCCTAAAATAACTTAACTCAAAATGACCCCTTTTTCGAAATAAATAATTTTAAATTATCTATTTTAATAACTATTCAAAACTAACCTATTTTCCAAATAAATTCTTTCTCATCATAATTATTCTAAAAATAATAATCTATTAATTCTTATCCTTACAATATCAGTTATTCTCATCTATCATCAAACAATCCACGCAGATAATTATATCATAATTTAAAAACTACAACCAATCACAATACAGTCAAAATATGCATATAATGTATAATAAATCTTAAATTCATATTTGAGCAAGAGGGCTCTTGCCTCGGGGTTCGTCGAACGAATCAACGTTGACGTGCGAGTCCGCGGGTCTGATCTGCAGCGCGGACAGAAAGAGCTCGGTGAGCACTGTTAGGGCGCTGCCGTAAGCGGGAGAGGTCGTCAGCGACGGTCGACGACGAGCGAGGGGCGTCGGCGAACCCGGTGGCCGCCATCTGGGCGAGGGCTGACCGGCCCCCCCCCCCCCCCCCCCCCCCCCCCCCCCCCCCCCCACGGCGGTGAGGAGAGAGGAGGGCAGATCTTACAGGGGGTCTGGGGTTTGGGTGGAGCCCCTCACGCGCTACACAGCCGCTTCGTCGGACTCTCGCGGAGGAGGGGCAAGCGCGGCCGGCTGCAGCGAGGAGAGTCGGCCGAGGCTGTCGGTGCCGGGTTTGTGAGGCGAGTGGGGTGACGCCCACGCCGCGACCCTCAGCGACTGTCACTGACGCAGCGGCGTGACCGCAAGTGGCTGCAGCGCTGGACACTCAGCAGCGAGTGCGAGCCTAGGTAGGCGGAGGAGATGAGACGTGCGCTGGCGTGAAGGCGCCTTGAGGGGTGACGGCGCTCCGCCCGCGGCGCCTGGGCGCGCATCTAGAGGGCTGGAGGGGCGGATCTGCGGTTTGGAAGATGGAAGGGAGGGAGTCTGGCGTTGTGGAGGAGCAGCATGCGCTGAGGGTACCGGGAGCGGGAGGCAGAGCTGGCCGGCGGAGAGCGCCATGATGCCGGCCGGCGCCTGTGGTGGTCGAACGGGGAGGACGCTCGGAGGCAGCTGGTGGGCTGTTTAGGAGGGCTCCTCATAGGAGATACGACTCGGGCTCGCTGGATTGGACGGAGCTGGTCGCGTTATAGGTCGAGGTGGTGGCGTGGTGCGTGCTCACGACTCGATGGGGAGAGAGAGAAACCGAGAGGGCACAGAATGCTTTGCGACCGAGCGGTTAGAAAGAGAAAGGAAGCAGAAAGCATAAACACCACCACACACACTATATATATATATATATATATAAGGAATTTAGGGTTTTGAAAAATAAATAATAATAATAATAATTATGAAAAAAATTAAATAATTGTGTGAAAATTATCTACACATCAAAACGTATCAGTTGTAGTATTACAACCGATAATACGCAACAATAAAAATAATGCAAGAAATTACACAATTAAACAGGAATAATTAATAAAAAATATAATTGCTTATATTTAAAAACAAATAATTATGGAAGAATTATCTACACAATAAAACGTACAAGTTGTACTAATACAACAGATAATATGCAACAGTAGAAATAATACAAAAAATTATACAAATAATACGTAATTAATAATACAGTGTATTATCCGAAATAATACGTAATAATAATAATACAACATATTATTTAAAATAATACGTAATAGTATCGATAACACAACGGATAAATTCCAAAAAAAATTACCTCACAAAATAAATTTATAAATATTAAAATTATTTAAATAAATATAAAATTTGGACTTTTAAATCATAGAAAATTCTAGAAGGCTGAGAAAAATACAAATACTTTTCTAAAAATAATAATTAAATATTTTAAAATACAAAAAAAATATTTTAATTAATATCAAAATTTCACGGGCATATTATCGCATATAGATAACAATAAGTTTAGGAAACATCAACGCATCCCAACGTTTGTAGCAAACATTGTTGTTGGTGCCCACATTTTGCTACAGACGTTGGGGCTTGAGGCCTACGTTTGCAAAGCAAAGTGTTGGGCCTGGGTGCCTCAATACACGTATACATGATAATTAATTCTTTTAGCAGCTGCTCTATTTAGATTTTTTTCCTGCCCCACATAAACACAAATATCTGCTTTCATCAATGCAAATAATTTAATTCTGTGTGTATGTAATTCAATGCCAATGTGGCTATAAAAAAGAAGCAACTTTGAAGTAAAAGTTTTAGATAGAAAGCAAAAGATTTATGCAATCGGGATTGCATCGTTGGATTAAATATCTGGTCAAAGGCGTGATTCAGATATCATTCAGGATGGGAAAAGAAGTTATATAATTTTATCTTCATGGATACTGACTAATGGGCTAATATTCTTATAACAAATAACTAATTATCCCACTTTGCTATATATACAAGCACTTGATGAAAACTGTCAAACCTAGACTTAGGACACGAAGAGTGCGTTGCTACAATTTAAGATATGACAGGTGATATCGTAAACAAGGAATGAGAGGACAAAGAAGATAATGAAGAATTACAAATTCAGGGATGATTGAAGCAAGTTTTATAATGGTAAGATACGAAGAATTACAAATATAGCTTACTTATGGTTTGAACCTATATTCATCAAATACGAGGCAATCTACTATGTATTTCATATAAGAAGATCCATCAGATGTCAATGAGACTAAAACTGTAAACTTCAGCACATTAACTCTACAATTCAGATGCATACCTTTGGCAATCAAGGCAAAGGGTGGTAAAACAAGCAGGGCAGCTAAGCACGGCATCGGAGGTACGACCTTTCCTTTGTTTATGGACCCATAACTCATCTTTCTCGTCAAGATTCGGATCGTAAAACTCTGGTTTGATGGAGTAATCGATTTCATCGTCACTGGAAACTAACATAAGACCACATCTTAGTAGTTAGCATATACACAATTTTATGATAAATGGTGGGCATCTTAAATGCTGACTTGAAAAGCAACAGGTATATTTTATAAAATAATATTAATATAAAAAAGGGCAGTATTTAGTATTTACCTATTATTTTTTTACTCCATTCTCCATAGAAAGATAATAATATTTGCACTTGAATACCCTATAGTTTGGCCTACTTAGCACTTACATACCCTCACTGGTTTTTGGCAGCAAGTATATACTCTAAAAACTTTAAAAACTTACACTTTTATACCCTTACTTTTTTGGCAGCACTTAAATACCCTAAAGTTTTTATACTTAAATACCCTAAAGCTTTTAAAACTGGCACTGAAATATCCTAAAGTTTTTAAAACTAGCACTTGAGTGCCCTAAAACTTTTAAAACTGACACATAAATAACCTCAGTTATGCAAACTTGAGGGTATCAAAGTGTAACTTTTAAAAATTCTAGGGCATTTAAGTGTCAGTTACAAAAACTTAAGTGCAAATTTTGGAAAGTCTAGGGTAAAAAATAGGGTATGTAATAAGTGCAAAGTAGGAGAAACTACAGGGTATTTAAGCGCAATTAACCATGTAATATAGGTGTTATGTCCAATTAAACTTGTTGCCATGGACTCCAAGATTACCCTCTTTTTTTCTTTTTTTTTTTTTTTTTTTTTTTTTTTTTTTTTTTAAAAATTTGTTTTTTTTTTTTTTTTTTTTTTTTTTTTTTTTTTTTTGAATTTCAAAAATTAAACTATGGAGAAATAGCTCCTCATCAAATTCCACCAAATAAGCACCTCCATGATTACAAAGGGTACAATTCAAACCTAAGTCAAAAAACACTGACCCAAACATCATTCACATCAATAAAAACCCCCATTGAAACCTAAAAAAAGTAACGAGATAGTTAGAATAGAAAAGGGGCGAAATTGGGTTGAAATTGCCCTAAAGAAACCACCAACTGGCATTTGGGCTACAAAATTTTCACATGGAATAGATAACGCAATGAACAAAACCAGTATTTTTTGAAGCAAAACCCTAGAACTGTTGTTATTTTTGAAGGAAAAAAAAATTTAAAGAGAAGTCGAGGAGAATTTGAAAGCGTACTGATATCGCGCGGATCGATGGTTGTGGACTCTGGTTCGGTTTCCATCGCCTCTTTCGCTTTGCCTTCCGCCATCGTCTTCGTTCCACGAGCTCGCGCTGTTGAGGGCTCGGGCCGAGAGTTCCAAAAATGAAGGCTAAACTAGCACTTTGCACTTTGCACTTTTATACCCTCAATTTTCTTTTTCCCCCTTTACTGAATCGTTATTATACTCGTTTTAAAAATCAGCACATTGGGCGAACGTAATGTTTATTGAATTTACCGTTGAGTCTATCACAATCTATTTGAATTTAAAATAGAATTAAGATAAGTTATGAATAGAAAATTGATAGGTTTAATAGTAAATTTCAGAAATATTAATGGTTGACTAATGTATTAATTTTAACAACTTAGAATATATAAATATTGTCAAAAATAAGTTTAAGTTGGAATACATAACTGCGAAGTGAGTGAAACTATGAGTGCTATTTCGCCAAACATTAATTAGGTGCTATTTCGCTAAACATTAATTCCGAAGCGTATAATCATTAGAGTTCTTTAGATATTAGTCCCTAATTCTTTAGAATTGTTTAGGTCCCTCAAATCATAAGGTAATCGCAGTCGATCCCTCTCGTTAAGGGCATCTTTAGCTATCATCATAATGGTAATTTGTAAAAAATTTAAATTCTAATAAATCAATCAGAAGTATATTTAGTACTTGAGGAATATCAAGGATATGGATTGCATTTTTAAAGCCGTGGACTTAGCATTTTGGATAGTGACTCTTGAGTCCATTATGTAAATTTATTTTGCATTCTTTTTTAATTCCACTAAGAATTTTTCTCACTGAAATTCCTCGTCAGATGCACCATTTATTGAGATTAACCATCGCCCACAATTGAGATTCCGCCGTCAGAAATTTCAAGTTTCTGTAGTAAGATTCACCGAGCAGGTAACGCACTGAATGCACGTTACTTCCTCACTTGACAAAGAACGCCAGTCAGAAGCACAACCATCAAGAACAGCTGAAGAACCCAAAAAAAAGGAGGGGGGGGGGGGCTGAAGATGGTGAACCTGACATTGATGTTTCAACTGGAAACAAGCAACAGAATAAATATATGGACTGATATGCAAAATGGATACAGGAGAGGAGGGGCTATTATGCAAGACTATGTAACTACAAGAGCTTGCAATAATGTGTAGTTACTTCAGATACAAATAGTTAGTTTCTTGTTCTTTTCTATTGGTTCTGTTGTGCATGTGCACAGGCCTGCACAAGTTTGAGCTTGAGCTGAGTTGTATAAATAGGAGATTGTAAGTCAGTGAACAAATCATGATATGAATGAAATTAGCTGCTTCTCTCAATTCTCATTCCCCGTCTCTCAATTCTCTCTTACTCTCTGTCTCTCAATTCTCTCTCTCTCAACTTTCCCTCTTGCAAAATCTGTTTCAATCTTATTTCAGGCTCATCGTGGCCAGAATCATCCCCAAAAGAACCAATCAAGGATTCAGTTCCTCACAATTGGTATCAGAGCAAAGCTTATTCGATCAACAATGGAAGGCAAGAATGAGTAGGATATCTTCTCAGCTAGAGGAGAATGCAAAGCTTCTTCAAGAACTCAGGAACACCAAGAATCCTCTCAGACAGAAGGGTGCAGATCAGGATTCTCCACCAAATCGAATCCTCTTCGTCATCATTCACAGAATGCTCTATCCTATAACGGAGGAAGTGTTGCATCAAGTGTTTTCTCCATATGTGTTTGTAGAGAAGATCGTCATCCTTCAAAGGTCAGCTGGCTTTCAAGCTCTTATACACTTTCAATCACAGCAAAATACGGTGGAAGCAATGAATTCTTTACAAGGGCGCAACATTTATGATGGTTGTTGTCAATTAGCCATACAAATTTCCAACCTCAATGATCTCGGCAAGGAGCAGGTTCCTCAATCTTTCCTAGTCTCTTCAACTCAGATTTCTTCTTCCAAAAAAAACCAACAAAGGTGTTCGACGAAAGAGCCGTTGAGATCCATCAAGAACCTACAGGGGACTTTCAAGCGTTCGAAGAGGTTATCATCCCTTCCTTTGTCCCAGATTTCAAATGGGTTGAATAAAGAGAATGTGGGTATTGAAAATTTTGGTGTGTAATTGGTCAAAGGGAAGCCATTGCATCAAATTTCACGTCCAATTACCAGAAGCTTTTGTGCTCAACTCCTTGCGAATGATCAAGCTGATGATGTCCAGAACAAGAAGCCAGTGGTTCTTGATGTTGATTTCAGTGGAGAATCCCAGCCAGTTCATAGTTTTGCTACCAACAAAAACACTGACGCGAAGGCACAGGCTGTAAAAGTTGCTGAAGCTGTGAAGGCTGGAGCTTCAAGCATAAAGAAGAAAACAAAGAAGATCCGCACATCTGTGACATTTCACCGCCCCAAGACGTTGAAGAAAGATAGAAACCCCAAGTACCCCAGAATTAGCGCACCTCCGAGGAACAAGCTTGACCATTATCAAATTCTCAAGTACCCTTTACAAGTACCCCAGAATTAGCGCACCTCCGAGGAACAAGCTTGACCATTATCAAATTCTCAAGTACCCTTTAACTACTGAGTCTGCTATGAAGAAGATCGAGGAACAAGCTTGACCATTATCAAATTCTCAAGTACCCTTTAACTACTGAGTCTGCTATGAAGAAGATTGAGGACAACAATATCCTTGTCTTCATTGTTGATATCCGAGCAAACAAGAAGAAGATCAAAGCAGCAGTGAAGAAGATGTATGACATCCAGATTAAAAAATTGAATACCCTCATCAGGCTTGATGGTACCAAGAAAACGTATGTGAGGCTCACTCCTGAGGGAATCTTGAGGGCCGAGCTCGAGGAAAAGGTTGGTGGTCAGATTTTCAAGATTGGTTCGTCCCAAGCAGTCAAGAATAAGTGGGTGGAGATGGGGAAACAACGGGTCTCCAGTAAGGTAAAGGGGGGGGGGGGAAAAAAGAAAGACAAAGTTGGTCTGGTCACCGCCGGTTCGCTTCGGAGAAGATTTTCAAGATTCTTGATCTTCACGATGCTATCTCGGATCTGCTACCTGACGTCGAGGCTGTTTTCTGCTCAAAATCGTCAGAACCAATCTACAATCACACTTCAGATATCTTGTCTCGTCTCACTGAAGCTGTTCGTGGAATCTTGTCAGAGTTCGAGAATGTCGTTCTTCGAGATCCGTCGAGAACACCTGTCCCTGGAGGTACGATCCATCCTTGGACTCGTTCGAGGTTTAATGGGGATGGTACAGGTGGTGCAGTAATGGAGATTGATTATCCTGAATCGGAGAGCAGGTCGTCGTTGGCATCGCATTTGATATGGATCATAGCTATTCTTCAGTACAATCTTGAGGATAAGACGCTGCACCTTCGTGTACAATATCAGAAGGGTATAGCATTGAGGATGACCCAGTTTTTAGAGGAACAAGTTTTTAGAGGAATATTTGACCTTGAGACAATGTCCAAATTAAGGGGAGGGAATTGTCAGGGACTGATACTCAGCCTGGGAATCTGTCGAGTGAGCAGGAACTGGAGATGGCGCAGGAGATGGTGCAGGAGCTGAAGATGGTGAACATGACATTGATGTTTCAACTGGAAACAAGCCACGGAATAAATATATGGACTGATATGCAAAATGGATACAGGAGAGGAGAGGCTATTATGCAAGACTATGTAACTACAAGAGCTTGTAATAATGTGTAGTTACTTCAGTTACAAATAGTTAGTTTCTTGTTCTTTTCTGTTGGTTCTGTTGTGCACATGCACAGGCCTGCACAAGTTTGAGCTTGAGCTGAGTTGTATAAATAGGAGATTGTAAGTCAGTGAACAAATCATGATATGAATGAAATTAGTTGTTTCTCTCAATTCTCATTCCCTGTCTCTCAATTCTCTCTTACTCTGTCTCTCAATTCTCTCTCTCTCTCTCAACTTTCCCTCTTGCAAAATCTGTTTCAATCTTATTTCAGGCTCATCATGGCCAGAATCATCCCCAAAGGAACCGATCGAGGATTCAGGTCCTCACAATTACCCATATGGTACCACCCAATTGTAGATGGACCCCCTATAGTTCTACTATTGCAAATAGACCCCAATGAAATTTTATTGGACAGTTTACACACAAAGAAATTTGATTTTCTGACAAATAGACCTCCTGACGGGAAAAGAGTCAAAAAGATCACTCAAGGAGTCTATCTGCCACAATAGAACTCCGGGGGTCTATCCCCAATTGGGAATAGTACAAGGGGTATATCTGCAATTAACCCAAAAAAATTATAGCATGTAATTGTTCCATAAACAGAACACCCGCTAGAAACATAAACAGAATTATAAGAATGTACAATTTAAGAGAAATTGTTTACTAACATGTTACAGGCTTGCGTCAGAGTCAAGGTTTAATGCTTCTAAAGGCCTCTACTAAAATAACTTTCAAGGTGCCTATACTGAAATCTAATGTGGCCTCAACTCTTGCAATGTGTTTTATACTCTGCATTTCGACACCGATGGTGTTGAAGACTAGTCACCAGGAAGACTAGTCACCAGTAAGAGCACGGGGCCTATGTTCGATAGTGTACAAAGACATACCGGTTTGTGAGATAGCTCTCACAAATCCCATGTTTGCTGTCAAAGTAGGAGCATGCCAATAATCCCCAGTTCCGAATACGATTTTGTTCTTTGAAGCAATCTTTCTGGTTGTTGGAAGAACTGCTACACGTTCTGAAGGATTGTCTGGCACAACCCTACCACGTAAACACTAGTTAGAATTTGAATCTGAAACGATGATAGTTCTCTTTAGTAAGTGTCCCGCAATTGCTAATAAGCAAACAGCATCAGGGTCCAAATTCATTCCAGCCGCCATATAAATAAGGATAAATTTCACAAAACCACCTTTAAGGTTGGCCATCTATGATATAACCCCCTACACTTTATAAATGTCACTTCAACCCCCTCCCCAACTTTTGGCCTTCTCACACAACCCCCAAAAATTTTCAAGTTCTGCAAATAACATCCCCACAAAAAAAAAATAGCACCCCATGTGGAAAAATAAATCACTTAAAACAAAATAATCAAAAAGTTACCCAACCTGTAATCAGTAAAAGCCCCAAAAAGAGGCCTTGGGGTTAAACATTAAAAAGGACAATAAAGGGTTTTTTTCAATCAGGGGCATTTTAGTCAACAATTGGACGCATATGATTTTCACGGGCACGGTCAAATCTAACAGTATTAGTTAGGCTTTTCTGACAAATCGTGGGGGGTTACGTGACATCTATAAAGTTTTAGGGGTTATCGCAGAAAAAGGCCAAAATTTTACCCTGTAAATAAACCGTATAATTGAAAATGGCAACAATCGTATAACAAGTAGCAACTGAAATATGTGAATGTGATTAGATCAAGTTGAGAAACTTACAGAAGATGTTTAATTAAAAGATCTGCCCGTAACTTCTCATTAGGCCCTCCGCACATCAAAACAAGTTCCTTGAACTCTGAACATACACTTTCACAAATGATCCCTTTCTTTCCAGCTATAACACCTCTGAGTTCTACTAGAATTGGATTCTCTAGTTCAGACATCACCTATAAGCAGTTCACAGGTAATTAAGTATGAACTTGAAGATCAATATAAAAATAAACTAGAATGTCACTATGAAGAAGATATGAGCTTATTCAAAATAGTAAAACCTAGAAAAGAGGTTAATGTCGTAGATAAGTATTGACTAGAACTACTATTCTGTAACAAGGTAAAGGAAGAAAATAGATTCCGTTTCAGGAATGCAACGATTTGTCCCATCAGACAACTGAATCCATCAGAAAGAATATCTTCTTCACGTTAGAATAAAGATAGTAAGAACGATGTATCCAATACATAGAAAGGTGAACCTCACATAGAATAGAGAGAGAAAAAAGAATCAGTACCAGCAAGAAAGCCTATTATACCGAACTTCAGCTCATCTGTTTGGTTAAACTGAAAGGCTAATGTATGCTTTTTAACTGTCAACATCCATGTTTATAACAGAAAAAGGCAAAAGCAAGATGCAAAAAGAGTAAGAAATCGTATAACTAGAAAAGGACCTCATACATACCCATTGGCAACCTGTAAGGAGTCAAAAAGTTATGTCTTCCCATCCACTTATTACGATGACATGGACAACATTGAACAATATTTCAGTGTCAGCTAGATAAATCGTTTGCTCTATTCAGATCCAACAAGGGCCATCTTTGGTAAACTAGCGATCACTAAATCTTCTTTCAATCTTACTGCTGTTCCGAGGACTCATGAAGGAATATCTAAGGTAATGTATGCACTTTTCAAGTGCTGAAACAACAAACCACCTTTTCTTTTGTTTAACAGCTCTAACCAAAAGACAGATCGGTGAAACCCACAAAATCTGTCTATGATGCCTGTTGTATGTCCACTGAGGCAAGTAAAGGTTTGTGTAGATGAAAAAAGAATACTGACTAGGCACATTAGCCAGGCGGGTTGACATCTGAGTTTGCCAGAGAAGAATTTGATATCCTGATTCCTGAGAATTAAATAAAAATGATGGAGGGAACGAGCCACCCATGTTAAATATGTATGAATTGAAGTACCTGGTTGATAATGTTGGATACGCCTTTTTACATAAACTAATTACTGTACAGTCCAAATGCATTTCCCATTGTAGGCGTCAAAAAATACTGAGAGATATCCAAACACAGCTCAAAAGGAAGTCATCCAAAATGTCAAAAAGAACACAAGTATAGACTGTCTCGCACGCGAGACAGACTTGACTGTCTCGCCGTGCGAGACAGTCTTTACTGTCTCGCCCACGCGAGACAGACTTCACTGTCTCGCCGTGTGAGACAGTCTTTACTGTCTCGCCGTGCGAGACAGAATTTACTGTCTCGCACGTGAGACAGCTCTCAGATGGTCAAAACCGCCTTTGTAACTGCCCTACACGTGACCACTAACTGTTCAAGAACGTGGGAAATGTCGTGGGCGAGAATCACGTGGATAACTGCCAAAATAACGGAGTTTGAAACGTGGGAAGGCAGTTAAAACGAAAACTGCCTGACGGTTACTGTTTCCGAGACAGCGTTTACTGTCTCGCGGGCCGAGACAGCAAACACTGTCTCGCCCAACATCCTCAAGAAGCTTCTGGCGAGTCCTAGAGATCTAAGCTCTGACTTGATCTTTAGAAGAGTGAACATCTTACATCGATAAGATATTCGCTTCAAATTCTTACTTCGATAAACGAAGGAAGAATCATTAAACCCCTCACGATTCAATCAGAATCTGTGATTTGGTGGTCCACGAGTCAAAGCACTCCCGGCACAGGCAAAGATCCCACGAAAGCAGTGATCCAAACAACGATCCTGCGTTTGTTTCTCAAGAGTTGTAATTTTTTCTTTTGTTGTGTAAAAGGAGTCTTATAAAAAGGCTATCTTTTTTTTGAATTTATTGTAATCGACCGAAGATATAATGAATTTCACAACAGAACCAACATTTGACGCAAACAAGCTGGCGACCACAGTGGGAGCCAACGGTCTCGCTGCTGAGACCGTCGTGTCGCAGCCGATCAAGATTCCAGTTGAATCCATGGTCGAATACGAATTCGACCAAACCAAGTTTGAGGAATATCTCTCATCATCCTCTTCAAGATCTTCATTGTCTCGCATGTACAAGAGGATCTCACCATTGAAGAAGACTTCCATGCCAAAGAAGGCACAGAATGAAGACTCTCGCTTAATTGTTGCTGAGGATTCTACTCGCAACCTCTCTGCTCATAATGACTCTTCTCCAATTAAGGAGTCATTAAATCAAAGCCCGCCGGCATTGACGAAAAGAGCTCGTCAGAGACAACGTCAGCGCCGCGCTCGTCAAATAGCTAAGGCCTTGGAACAAACCGACGGAGTTTGTTATCATGCGGACTTAGAGTCGAGGAGGCATCGAGTGGTTCAGTTGTCTCAACGACCAATCACTCATGTCTCTGCTAAACTCACGATGGAGGAATGGACTATTGTCAAAAGGACTCGTTCGACCCTCAAAGAACGCATACAAAAACATCGTGCAAACGCTGCTCATGCCCGTGCTCTCTTACAACAAAGACGAGAAGGGAGGAAGGAAACGGTGACCAAAGAACCACCGAAACTCTGCCAAGTTTGGATTCTAAAGTCTGGACTTATGCAAAATCAGCATTCGGAGCCCGTTAAGACTCCATACCCGCAAGGGGATGGTTTTAAACGTGCGACTCCCGACATAACCTTGGATCGCTCAAAGACAAAAATAAATTGTCCTGAGAATGCCAACAAGGTTTTATACCCCCAGAAGAAGACGCATTCACCAAATGATATCGTCATACCTGGGAGGTCATGCCAACAGACGATACGATTTTTTGGTAATCATACCGATGAATCGTATTATCAAGTTGGGGTTGTGAATAATTTTTGAAAGAGAGTTATTCGAGAAATAAACTCTCATTGTTCCTGTGCACGACTCGTTAAAGCAGCATTATCAGAATGTGACTGTTTCAAACGAGAAGCCATCCTACGAAGAGTCTCTGTATTGTCGAAGCCTAAGCCGAGACATTTCCGCAAAAGAAAATCAGCTGCCCAAGATGATGAATTCCCTGAAGTCACCATCAACGTGGCTGATAAAAGAAAGTCTATGCGGCATTCAAGCGACTCAAATCCCGACTTTTTCCCGAGAGGAAAAGTCAATCCAAGAATTGCTCAAAGGATGTCTCGACTCCAATTAGGAGCCATCAGACGCAGAGATTACAAAAGAATGCAAGAAGGAATGTCCTCGGAGGATGAATTCTCGGACACTTGTTCTGCAATCGCTTCTGATGATACAATGTCTAGCACGGGACAAACCAGAGAAGTACTCACGATCACCTCTGATCAATTTGCTCAAATACTTCAAGAAGCTCTAGCCAAACAACGTGAAGAAATTAGAGCTGAAGTGAAGACAGAAATGAAGTTGGCTATCCAACAAATGAGAGAACTGTTAACTCAACAGCCTCAACCTCCTGAGTCCAATCAGCGATTTGAATCCAGCCACCACACTCGGAATGTTGTAGATGACAGTGATCCAGAGGTGGATGAAGTCATTATGGCTGATACACCTCCCAATGGCAATAACGCTGGGGGTGGTTTAACGGATCCTCCCAATAACGATATTGGGGGTGGTTCAATAGCACCTCTCACTGGGGGTGGTCCAATTATCTTTACTCGACATCATTCAGAAAGAAATGAAGACGATGACGGGAAAATGCAAAAACTTGAAGACAAAATCAATGCTTTGATGACGGCTCAAGAAGTTAAGAAGACGGGTATTCCATGTCCTTATCCGAGGGAATGGGATTCAATACCATACCCGACCAAATTCAATCTGATTAACTTCACACCGTTTGAAGGGAAGAGTTCGCCGATTCAACACTTGATTTATTTCAAGTCTCATTTGGGCATAATCTCTGGAAACGAGGCCTTAATGATCCGGTCATTCGTTGGCACCCTTCGTGGGCCCGCCTTCGATTGGTACCGACGGCTCAAGCCAGGGAGCATCAATTGCTGGGATGACATGGAAAGTTTGTTCCTCAGCAACTTCTTCGATGATGACACCGAAGTGTCAATCGGAATCCTTTTGGATGAGAAGCAAAAAGACGGAGAGTCAGTCGACGATTTTGTCAAACGCTTCCGTGGCAAAGCAATAAATTGCAGAGATCCTATTACAGAGGAGTTCATCCTGCAAACATGCCACAATAACCTCTCCATCGATGTCTTGGAAGCTCTGGGGGTTGAGCCGTCCACAACTTGGAAGGAGTTAAAATTTCGTGGCGAACAAGCTGAACACTTTCTTAAAAGAAAGGAAGCTGAGAAACGCGGTGAACAAGCTGAACACTTTCTTAAAAGAAAGAAAGTTGAGAGAGGTCAACCGACGACATCTACAATTGCTGTGAACGCGACTCTCGATCCGAGGTTCCAAAAGGAGTATTCTTTCGAAGATGATGAAGCTTCAGCCATATTGGAATACCTCCTCGCCAATGACAAAATCGAGCTACCGCCTATTAAAGATCAGGAGGGTGCTAAGATGATTACAGATCCAAACTACTGTGCATATCACAGAAGGATTCTTCATCCCACCGAGATTTGCTTTAGACTCAAAAACAAAATCCAAGCCTTAATTGACTTCGGCGTCATAACGACGAAACAAGCCGAGTAAAGACGACTCATACTCCATTGGATACACGAGTATAAATTGTTTTTCTTTACTCCATAGGATACACGAGTATAAACTGTTTTCCCCTCACTCCGAAGAGTATACGAGTATAAACTGCTTCTCAACACTCCGAAAAGTATACGAGTATAAACTGTTCCTTAATACTCCAACAGGTATATGAGTCTAAACTATTTCCTTTCTTTCACGGGAAGTTCCTAGAGAATGCCATGCATGGTACTTTTAAGGATAACCCGATTATACAGCTAAACGTAATGATAAACCCAGCTTCGCAAGAAAAGCTGGGGGTGGATGGTTCATGTAACGGGAAGTTCTCGGAAGAATGCTATATGTAATTTTCTTAGGGATACCCGATCATTACAAACAAAGGGAAAAACACTACATCCCCACGGTGATTTACGAATACTCTTTTGCTGAGGTGAGATTCGATCACTTCGTTGGATCAATCTTCCCTCACAAAATTCTCTTATGGTCACACCTTTAAACGATTAGGTCCAAAGCCAAAATCCCCTCTCGATTCCTTCAATGAACGAGAGGTCCACAAATTGAACGATCAAACCTTTAAACAGTTAGGATCGTCTCAAAACTCCCACTTGGTCAAACCTTACTACAGTCAGGACCACAACCAAAATCCCCTTTCGATTCATTTCATGAACGAGAGGTCTACTTTTGAATTGAATAATCAAACCCTATGACAGTCAGGATTATTCAAACCAGTCCAGATTTTCCAAGTGGAGATCCCACTTTGAGTTTCTTTTGCACCAGGAGATAGAATATAAAATTCTTCCTCTCCATCATCGGGTTCACCTCTACCAACAAAAAAGAGACCATATTACTCCAATAGGTACACGAGTCTAAACTGTTTTCCTACCATCAACAGGAAGTTTCTGGAGAATATCACTCAAAATATTCTTAAGAATAACCTGGCTACCTCCCAACGGGTATACGAGGTTAAACTATTTCCCGAGAACAAAAAAAATAAAAATAAAAATAAAAAATACATGAGTATAAACTGTGTTCCTATGAAGACTGATACAGTGATTGACAATGCGGTATCAATTTGATGACAAAAGCTGAATTCACAAGTACAAATTCCAGCTTCAATTCAAGATCTCGACGACGGTCAAGCGATGAACGCCATGCCGAAAGGATCTTAGCTATTCTACAAAGCACTGAATAGACTGAGAGACAAAGAGATCAAGTGTTGAAGCCATCTACAGGTTTTTCTATACGATCTACCCAATCAAGCATGGAAAGGATCATAAGTAAGACCTATCTTATCCAAAGCATCCCAGAACTCCTCTATAAAAGATTGAGTCTGGAATACTTTGGAGGGGGTATCTGTAGGCGTCAAAAAATGCTGAGAGATATCCAAACACAGCTCAAAAGGAAGTCATCCAAAATGTCAAAAAGAACACAAGTATAGACTGTCTCGCACGCGAGACAGTCTTTACTGTCTCGCGGGCGAGACAGACTTTTACTGTCTCGCCCATGCGAGACAGTCTTCACTGTCTCGCCGTGCGAGAAAGTCTTTACTTGTCTCGCCGTGCGAGACAGAATTTACTGTCTCGCACGTGAGACAACTCTCAGAGGGTCAAAATTACTTTGCATAACCGCCAACACGTGACCACTAACTGTTCAAGAACGTGGGAAACGTCGTGGGCGAGAATCACGTGGATAACTGCCAAAATAACGGAGTTTGAAACGTGGGAAAGCAGTTACATCGAAAACTGCCAGAAACGAGACAGCAAACACTGTCTCGACAGCCGAGACAGCAAATGCTGTCTCGCGAGCCTGTTTTTCGCCAACTGTTCATAGGGGCTATAAATACCTCCCGAAGGCCATTTTGAATGAGGCTGGTCATTTTGAGCACTTCAGAGCAATCCAGAGCAGAGAGAGAGCAGAGTTTTTGAGCTTCTGACGATTCCTTGAGATTCGAGCTTTGACTTGATCTTAAGAAGAACGGCTATCTTACTTTGATAAGATATCGTTTCAAATTCTCACTTCGATAAACGAAGGAAGAATCATCAAACCCCTCACGATTCAATCAGAATCTGTGATTTGGTGGTCCACGAGTCAAAGCGCTCCCGGCACAGGCAAAGATCCTACGCAAGCAGCGATCCAAACAACGATCCTGCGTTTGTTTCTCAAGAGTTGTAATTTTTTCTTTTGTTGTGTAAAAGGAGTCTTATAAAAAGGCTATCTCTTTTTTGAATTTATTGTAATCGACCGAAGATATAATGAATTCCACAACAGAACCAACTTTTGACGCAAACACCCATGTGTACTAGAAAACTCTATCAAATTCATATTTTTCTGCTGGTAGTTCAGTTTAGCTTGTGAACGCATTTACGCAACTTCCACATTTTGTGAAATATAAATAAGGATAGTTTACTCAGTTTTGAGATTTTAGGAATTTTTCTCTTTATAGTATTAGTAGCCACTTGTTTGTGTTGTATTTATCCCATTTGGTATATTAATCATTCACATATAAAAAAAAGAAACATAACGCATATACTAGTGAGTTGACAAAGTATTCCACTGTAAAGATGGATAAAGCTACAAACTGTAGCGCAACTGAGAAACAACATTTTCCAAAATGAATGCAGCCAAAAGAAGAGCGTAAAGATGGACAAAGCAAGGCATTGAGAAATGATATAAAAGACGAAATGTCGTTCAAGGATAAAATGAAGAGGAACTTGAGACAGTTTGTTCATAAGTGACAGAAACCAACCAGATAGGAATACGAAAAGCACAATATATAATGGGCAATGAGGACTAGGGGTATGGCTACATGAACGTCAACGGAGGCAGTTCAAAAGGTTGTGTAGGATAGTTAGGGATAGCTCTTAGTATTGAATGGAAGAAATAGATTTCAAGCAGCCAACCCAAAATTTTGGATTAAAAGGGCTATAATCTTGATTATCTTGTTTGCGTTGTCAGTTATTAGTACTTCTTTTGTAAGGTATATGCAGCTTTTGCTTCTGCACTAGGTATATGTCGTCCATAAAGGAAAATATCCGGTTGCAAGGTTAACTAGGAGAAAAAGAGAAGAAGGGAGGACTTGGAAGTTGGAACTGATAGGGCAGGGTCAGCATGGAATAGAATAGGGTTCCGAATCAGCTCCTCGTACAAACAGATGAATAGGTTAAATACAACTAGGATTTATATATAGCGGGGAGCATCTGGACTCCAAAATACACTGTTCGAAATGATATGGGAACACCATAAACATGATCCTAAATATACATTTGTAGCCCACCAGAGCAGTCATTCTACAATCGGAGATTCAAATTCCGTATTAACTAAAAGCACATTGAGCTAAAAACCTGCACAACAAGCAATCCCCACAATCAGAGCAAAGCCAAAACTGAGTTTATCCGAGGCTACCTGCGCGACAACAAACTCATAGTTGATCTTAAAACCTAAGCCGATCATCGCGTCCGTCCGGCGCCTCCAGCAACTTCGCGGCATCCCCCGTTGCTGGATCCCTGACACCGATCGCCGATCAGCCGCGGCTCGTATCGTCGAAATTCAACCCGCTTCATCCCCCATCCGGTCTCACGCGACGAGTACCGAGCCCTTGCGAACCCACACCACCCCTCCCAAGACCCCTCCCGCCCCCACGCCCCGCCCCCTTCACGAAACCCGACCTCCCCTCCCCCTCCCCCCTCCGAGAACCCTAAGCCTCGAATCGCCCGCCTCGAGACCCGCGAATCGTCAACGGTCCCTACGCCCCGAACTCCGACCCCAACCGCCCGCCACGAAACCGTCCTTGAACCGCCTCGGAGAAGAGGAGGAGGACTGAGGGGAGGGCTTCAGAGCGTGCAGGCGGAGCCCGCGGCGGCGAGGATCTGGCGCATGCGAGGAGGCTAGGGCTTAGGTGCTGGATGACTAGGGTCGTCCTCAGACGGAGGTATCCAGGGGGGAGAGGCTCGAGGTGCAGACGAGGTCCCGAACGGTGGACGCCGGCGACGGGCCCTAGAGAGCGCGAGGACGCGGCGACGAGGGGTGGGAGGAGAGCGGAGGAGGGAAGTGGAGGTAGCCGGAGGTTAGAGGAGGGGAGGGATGGGGAGGGGGAGGGGGGGAGAGGAGGTGCGAGCTCGCGGAGAGGAGGCGCGCGGAGGAGAGGGAGGCGGAGGGGAGATCTTGAGGGGGGTCAGGGAGGGTGAGGGTTTCGGTCGAGGAGCGCGTGCAGAGGGTCTTGGCTTCTTCGACGGTGGTGACCATGGGAGCCTCACAGCTTTGCTTCGCGCGTGCTGAGCCTGATTCGCACTTGATGTTAACGTTGCATACTGTCTATTTTGCTAAATAATTAGCAAAAACGGACTATTTTGCAAATTTTCCCTATATATATATAGTTTACATATTGACGTATGTTTGAGGATTGATCAGATGAAGTGTACTTTTTAGTATCAACATGATGTATTGTGATTTACAAATATTTTGATGTTACAATGTGCCTTAAAGAGGCAAAAGGATTTGTTGGAATGAAGGCTATGTTGATAATAGTTGCTCTTAACTACATAAGGTGCTCATACAACTATAATGTTGTTTGCATCTCCTCTATATTATGTGCTTCTTAAATAATTATAAGATTACCGAGGGCAATATTAGTTGGACTTGATCTCGTATAATTTCTTAACATGCACCATGTGCAACGCACGTACTACGTACTAGTATAATTACAAACATCCAAACTGTGATTTTAAAGCTTATGTGACTTTTTAACCATACACACCCTATGAGTAGGATATATAAAGAAATTTCTTAAACTGTTCTTTTTTCCCCCCAGTTATGCTGTCAAAATTTTAAAATTATTTTAATATTTAACTAAATTTATAATAAATAATTAGTCAAGACATGATTACTACGGTTTAAAAAAAATGTATGTGTATATATATCAATTTCTTCTTAATGAGTAGTGATAAATACACTATTGTTCATGCATTGCTTCTAAATTATAAGAGAGAAAAGTGCACAGTTCATTCTATTTTTACAAATTTTGATGAAACCAGACCGGACTAGTCAACACTAGAAACTGAACGAAACCAACCAAACTTAGTTTAGTAAGTTCAGTGCGGTCTATTGAGTTTGGCCTCAGACTAATTTAATTAAGAAAAAAAAATCTATTTTGATGCAAAAGAAAGATGCATATTAAAGAACCAACGAAAAAAATGTTTATTAGAGGACCATCGATAATAAATAATGAAAATTAATTGAAATAATAGACAACTTAAGAATAAATAATGTAAACTATTGAAAAGAAAGAAAGAGAGTGTGTTAGACAATTGAGAGAGCGGTCGGTTCTATTTGTTCTGGGTTTAAATTTTCTCAAATCGAACCGACTGAAACATATTTTAAAACCTAATTGAATCATCAAAATTTGGTATATTTAGTAGTTTAATTAGTTAAACCAATTAATGCTCACCTCTAAACGACACCAATAATATTTAAGTCTTACTTATTCAACTCGGATTTGGGGTGGAAAGATAAGAAAAGATACACATTGTTAAAAGGTTTTGTAAGTACTTTCCATTTGTTTCCAGGTATTTAGGGGCTATTTGTTTTCATGTATTTTGTGAATTTTGCATTGAAAAGTGGGACCTACAAGCTTAAAATTCTAGTTATTATCAAATACATTGTTTGTTTGTTACTTTTCATACCTCGAATTCGAAGTTGACACATAGGATATATGCATCAAATGTAATCCCCTAATCATGATGATTTAACTCAAATTTGTAATTCTAATCACAAATTCTCAAGAAAATGTGTGTGCAACCAAACAACATTTGATTGGATTTTATCCCTAATACAAATATAATTTAATATCCATTGTAAAACAAACAAGATTTGCTTGTCATTTTTTGTGCCACGAATTTAGGGTTAGAGCATCTCCAACAGCTTCCCCAAAATTTTCTTCAAAATGGAGAAACAAAAGTCATATTCTCCAAATTATTTTTGCTCCAACTCCAACAGCTTCCCCATTTTGAAAAATCGCATTTATTACAATAATAAAGCTCTCCCCAAAAATTTGGAGAATGCTGCAGATTTGGGGAAGGCTCCCTATTTTTTCTCCTCCTTCCCTATTTTGGGGAATGAGATGGGGAATCTGTTGGACCAAAAAAAAGCTTTATATTCTCTAAATTTGAGTATTTCAAGAAGATGAGGAAGCTGTTGGAGATACTCTTATTGTGTAGGATAAATGCATCAAATATGATTCCTCATAATTGTGCTGATTTCATGTGAATTTGTGATGTTAATTAGTAACATATTCTCAAAAAAAAATGCGTCTACAACTAAGCAAGATTTTGAATATGAATTTTTCTAATTTTATGGCTTGCACTTGCACCGAAATACAATTCACGAACCAAACAGAATAATCTATGCAAGAGTATCAAAAATCTCTTACTTGGTGCATTTTCTATTTATTTGTCACTTTATTCCATTGAGACCCTTCCTTATTCTATTCCGTTGAGACCCAATTTCTGATTTTAAGAGCTGGATGTGACAGTATGACAACTCAAAAGAGACCGTACGATGTCCAAATTATCCAACCAATTTGTCTCATTGCACAAAGCTACAGCCAATAACAACCATGCAAACCAGCTTTTTCTCTTTTTTTTTTTTAATAAAAGGTGTGATTTTCTTTTGATTATGTTTGCACGGTTGTGTACATAATATTTAAGGGGGTGTTTGGTTCAAATCTTATAATTTTAGGATATGAATTTCATCATGGGATTTGAAATCCATAGGTATAATTTGTTATGGGTTGGGATTCCTAAAACTTTATTTTTTTCAACAATATTTTGGGATTTGGAATACTATCATTTGTAATATTTTTGTGTATTTCAAACTTTTTGGGATTTGAAATCCATAATTTGTATTAAGTTTTTGAAATCCACCCCACATCCCACATGAAGAAGAGGATTTTACAAATCCTTAAATATATTTTTTTTTTATTTGGGGATTTAATATTCTAAAACTTTTTTTAAAACAAACATGTTTTATGGAATTCTAAAACCCTAAAAAAACCTCTTTTTACATCCCAAAACTTGAAATCCACACCATATCAAAAAAATAAAAATAAAAATGAAACAAACACCCCCTTAGAGAAGTTGCGTGCAGTCTACTAATTTTCATCGGTGAAAAACTTCAAAGCGTAAGTTGCTTCTCCTCCTCTTTCTTAGCTTTGCAGCTTGATAATTAAGGATGAGACTTTTAAATAGCAATGGCGGTCTACTTTGAGGTTGCCATGTATTTTTTTTTTCCTTTTGTACTTGCACTTTCAACTTAGCATGTGAGGTCCAAATAAGGCCATACTTTAGGAATCTCATCATTTTAGGTGTTGCTTTTCTTTCTTTCTTTCTCAAGGGAAAACCAGGGCAAGACACAAGGATCTCTAGGTTGAACAAAATTTTAGACCAATTTTTTTTCCCCAGTAAAACACCTCATAGAAAACTGTCCTCTTCAATTTATTCAAACTTACATATTACGTGTTGTTCCACATTAGCCTAGGGGTCAATGAAGTAAATAGTTAGAGGGCAAATTGACATAGAGCTTCAATACGATGAGGGTGTTTGGAGATGCTTATTTTTTGTTCAAACTAGCTTTAACTTAGTTTTTTTTTCTTCATATCTATCTATTTGGTACACTACCAAATAAGTTAGCTTAATGTGTCATTTTTAAAAGCTGATATGCTCCAGCTTTCAAAAAAATAATCTTATAAGCTCACCCAAATGAGCTAGGTTTGACCAAACAAATTACTATTTTAACCAAATATTTTTTAAGCAAATTTTGTTATAAAAGGCAAAAGCCATCAAAAGCTAACGTAACCTAAAAGCTTGTAAAAACAAGCCTTCCCAAACACCCACTAAGTGTATTTCTTATGGGGTCAATGGAGGCATCGACCCAACCGTAGATTCGCCCTTGACAGTGCAAGGAAGAAATTTCAAACCCCTAAAAGATTCTCAAACAAGGTGAATTGTTTTCCTAACTACCCTTCACCTACACTTGCTTTCATCCGAACAGGATGTAAGTAATCACATGAGGAATTTATCTAAACAAATCTATTAGATATATGCTCTTAATAACGTAAAGTCCAGTTTGATTTTCTAATGCATTATTAGAGTGGGTTAATTTCAAAAAATCCCTAAACCTTAGGACTAAGTTATTGACCGTTAAATAAGTTTTACTTTAGCCCTTATAATGATTTTTAGTGTCTCGGAATAACAACGATTTTGATTATTTTCTTTGTAAATATAGGGGTTAACTTAATCATTCTAAATAGGAGTATTAGTAAACCCCTCATTTTTAATGGGTTAACTCATTTTAATCCCTCTAGAAGGGTTAACTTAACCCTTCTATATTTTTTATGTTTGGCAAACTGTATAGGGTTAATTCACTTTAACTCTTGTCTAGATTTTTTGTGTTTGACGGGTTAAGAAGGGGTTAGGTCTCATTAACCCCTCACTTAACCTGTTGCCAAACGGGCACCTAGAGGTTTTTCACATAACCCTTAGGGTTATGAACTTCGGAGGGTTTCACAAACACCCATGAGCTTTAAGCTTTATCATCAGACTCTTTATGTAATTTGCAAATTAAAGAATTTTTCTCGTGAGAAAACTCATAATTTACGGGAGGGATCATGTTGCCTGTAAATAACAAAATAATAAAAGTTAGATTTCCCCCCTCTCTAACGGACAGTTTAGCTAGCTATTTGCAATTTTTAGTTAGCGGTATAATAAGATAAGAAAATATTAAAGTTCATGGGTGGTTTTGTGAGACGCCCCAAACGTCAGGGGGTTACGTGAAACTAAACCAAGACAATAACATGACCCGTGGAGTGACTGGTAACAAGGGTAAATTACAAAGGGTGGCACTAGGGGCACACCCCCAACCACATCCCAAACCACACCCCCTCTCTCATATGGTATAATACAACGGGCCTCACATGAGATTTTAAAATTTTAAAATCTCATGTGGGATCTGGTACACTGTAGCATATGAGAGAGGGGGTGTGGTTTGGGATGTGGTTGGAGGTGTGCCCCTATCGTTTTCCAATTGCAAATAACCCCGTCAACACCGTCAGCTGTAGCTGGACAACGGTGCTGTGTACTGGTGGAGGGGTGATAAATGCAAATAGATTAGGTGCCAAGCAACAAGCCAAACCCATACACAGTAAAAAAATAAAATAATGTTGATGTATTTTGTTGGTTACGAGTAGCTCCGCACCAAAGAAACTGGACATTAAATGTTCTGATCGAGCAATCATCACCAAAAGGTAGCAAGAGAATATTACCCCCAGGCCCCAGCTGGGGGGGTGGGGGGTAGGTGAGCGCAGCACCAGCTGTTTCTTGATTGTTTTGATTTGATTTTGAATCACAAAAAATTATTTTACAGATACATGTCATCATCAAAGATTCAGA